GACAGCACGGGGTTAGATACAGAGTAAAGCTCCCTCTACACTGTCCCTCCCCATCAAACACTCCCAGGGACAGGGACAGCACGGGGTTAGATACAGGGTAAAGCTCCCTCTCCACTGTCCCCCCCCATCAAACACTCCCAGGGACAGCACGGGGTTAGATACAGAGTCAAGCTCCCTCTCCACTATCCCCCCTCCCATCAAACACTCCCAGGGACAGGGACAGGGACAGGGACAGCACGGGGGTGGAGTCGGTGTAATGCTGCGTCGTGGCACAGGAAGAGCCCATACTCACAAGTGGATCTTGCTATCTTCCCCCAGGTCTGGCAGTGGACCCGGAGCGGGTGCAGGACCCCCACCGGCAGCGCTGTCTGCCCCAGGCTCTGTGCTGCCAACGGCCCTGTGTAGTTCCCTTGCTCTAGCCCTGGTGGGCGGTTTGCTGGGAGCTGGGATTTACCACAGGCTGTACCGGGCCAGGGGAAGGGTACACGCTGGGGGGCATGGGCACAGTGACCCAGAAAGAACCTTTCACAGTGGGCACGGATCCCCCATCAGATTAGGGCCCTGAGCAAGGGGGTGGGGGGTGCGGGGGAAGACGGAGACACAGGGAGACGGAGAGGGGCACGGAGACACAGGGAGACAGAGACAGAGACACAGGGAGACAGAGGGACACAGAGACAGAGACACAGGGAGACAGAGGGACACAGAGACAGAGAGAATATTTTATTGCGGATTTCCAGTTCTGATTGGAATAGTGCGATATTGCGGACACAGCGTGTTACAGACACAGCCCCCCCCCCCCCCAGGGGCACTCCCCCCCCCCCCCCGGGTCACTCCCTGCCCGCAGTGGATGCTAACTCCTGGTAGAAGCGATCAGCGTATTCGGGAGCGAGCTCCTCCAGACCCGCGAGCAGCTCGTTACGTTGGTCTTCCGTCCATCCATCGAACCACCGCGCCCACAGCCGCAGCTGGCACTGGAAAAGGCTGGGGGGTCGGTCACTCAATGCCAGGCCACCAAAACCCTCCAACAAACAGCACACCTTGGCCGGCACTGCCCTCTTCACCAGCTCAGCCACAAACGTCCGGCGCTGGCACGAGCTCCAACCCGAGAACCAGTGCAGCACGCAGCGTATCTCCTGGGCCGGCAACGAGGGGGCTACAGGCTCACACATCCCACACACCGAAACCGGACCTGGCACCTGCTGGTGGGGGGGCACGGTTACATAGGCAGGGGCGGACAGGGCAAGAGACAGAGAGAGAGAGAGAGAGAGAGAGTGTGAGCACACGCACGAGAGAGAGAGAGAGAGAGAGAGAG